CCATCCAAATCAATAACTTTTCGGCCCGACCTTTTTAATTTCGATAATGCTGAGAGAATATCATTTGAAAGCATCGAATCCAAGATTTTAGCTTCCTAGTACTCATAGTTCCAGAGATACAATGGTCAAAAGTGCCAAAAATGACCTTTTTTCGAAAAATACGATTTTTTGAAATTGAGATAAGTTAAAAAATAATGATTTTGAAAATATAAGTTATATGTCATTTTGTAACTCTATGAAAGGCCTTTTATTAAATATTAAGGATTTTCTTGAAATAATATTGTTGCAGTTTTTATTTACGTTATATATTTTAAATATAAAAATTCCAGGTGTTTCGCTTTCCAAATTTTTTTGAATTTAATATTTACTTATTCTTTAACCTTATATCTATTCATAAAAAATTTTTAACTTGGGACAGCCATGGGTTGTTTAGTTATTACGATTTAAAAAATCAAATAATAAATATTTTTTTCAAAAATAGATGGCGCTCCTTTATAAAATAACGTATTTTGTTATAATTTTTATTTTTTTAAACTTTTTTTCACTTTTAAACATAAATAATAAGATTTTCCAGCATTACTATCAGGAAAAAATATTATATAGATCGTTTGATAGGCTTACTTATTATTAGAGATCTGCAAAGTTAGGCCCGGCCCAGACGGGCTTTGGGCTTAATTCTATTTAAAATAATAGGGTTCGGGCCGGGCCTAATATTTTGAAAAAAAAATCGGGCCGGGTCGGACCTTGGAAACTTCTTTAAATAAATATAAATTTATCAATTTTATATTGAATTTTTTATGTAAAATAAAAATATTTGATTTTATTTATTGATACTAAACGACATATGTCTATTATATTGAGTAATTATAAAAATTAATTCCTATATAAATTCGGGCCGGGCCGGGTCGGTAACTGTTTTTAAAAAAAATTCGGGTTCGGGTCGGGCCGGCAAAACTTTTTTAAAAAAAATTTCGGGCCGGGCTTGAAAAATTAGGCCCGATGCAGATCACTACTTATTACTATTGCTATATTGATAACTTGTAAAAATTAGTTTTTATAATAAATGATTAAATTACCTAAAAAGATAGTTAAAATTCCGATATCGCATACAAGGAAATATAATAATTAATTGTTGAAAGATAAAAGCTAGTTTCATGTACCTGCCCTAATATTAATTAATTTTTATTATTTATAATTTATAAATATAAATGCGTAAATCCATTTAAAGAATCTAAACACTTTAATTATAAAAATAACCTGCGTGAAGTCATGACGTGGATGACACAATATCCAAACATTGAGGCGGAACATTATATTTGTGATAAATGCCGTAAAAAGTTATCACAAAAAAATATCGAAAAAAATAAATTATGATAGTGAATATGTAAATAACAGCACAGCATCAACATCAATAGATAAAATCAATATAACTTTAAATGAAATAGGAATATCTCCTATTAATAAGAAAAAACTAACCGAAAAAAATTATCCAAAAAAGGCAGCAAAAATAACAAAAGCGATTACAGATATAATAATTAACAATCCAGATTCGGATACGAAAGATAATAATGATATACTCAATAACATGAAATTACAATATCCCAATTTATCTAAAAATAAAAAATATCAATTGCTGACCATTCTGCCTCCTAATTGGAGCGCAAATAAAATAAAAACGCCATTCAACGCTACATATCATATGGCATATAATTCCAATATCATTTTAGAAGAAAAGAGGATTCTTTCAACTCCAAATCGAAAGCCTGCAAAATATCTCAATCAAAAAACAGTTGATATTGTTAAAAAAAATTTTTGCAGTGATGAAGTTAGTAGTATTACCAGGAAAAAAAGATTGCATATCTATCATTGAAAAGGGGGAACGAGTGAACGCTCAAAAAAGGTTAGTTCTTAATAATTTGAAAGAATTATATAATCATTTTAAGGCGAGTAATTCAAACTTAACAAATGGATTTTCGAAATTTGCTAGCTTAAGACCAAAAAATTTTATATTAGCAGGGGCTAGCGGAACACATAGTGTATGCGTTTGTAGCACACCAGAATATTAAACTTATGATTTTAGGCTGTGAATTAGCAACATTGACTAAAAATGGTGAGGATACATTAACAACTTATAGAGATGTTATAGACACAATGATTTGCAATCCCCCGTTACCCACAAGTTATTTTGGTGACTGCAACTAATGTCAATATATCCACGTGAAGATCCTTTAATTGAGGATCTGATAATCGATGAGATTAGAGGATATGTAACATGTGCATATGAAAACGATTGGTGGTTAGGATTTGTACAAGAAGTGAATGTAATTAGAGATGAAGTAAAAATTAATTTTCTTCACCCTAAAGGACCAGCAAATTCTTTTGTTTATCCAGCTGCACAAAATATCCTTTTCATACCAAAAAATAATATTTTAACAATAGTTAGCCCATCAACGGCTATTGGGCGTACATATAATTTATAGCAAAACGAAATTTTCATGGCGTCAAAAAAACTAAATTTAATGAAAAACCGAAAATAGGTAATATCTTTCATAAATTTTAATTTATCTATTATATTTTTAAAATTTATAAAATAATTTTTCGAAAATTAAAATTTTTTATAAAAAAAATGATTATAACCGCAGCTAAATAATCTCATTCCATGATATTAATGCTGGAAAATCTTATTATTTATGTTTAAAAGTGAAAAAAAGTTTAAAAAATAATAATTATAACAAAACACGTTATTTTATAAAGGAGCGCCATCTATTTTTGAAAAAGAGAAAATATTAAATACAAAAAAATTTGGAAAGCGAAACACCTGGAATTTTTATGTTTAAAATTTATAACATAAATAAAAACCGCAACAATATTATTTCAAAAAAATCCTTAATATTTAATAAAAGGCCTTTAATAGAGTTACAAAATGACATATAACTTATATTTTTAAAATCATTATTTTTTAACTTATCTCAGTTTCAAAAAATCGTATTTTTGGAAAAAAGGTCTTTTTGGCACTTTTGACCATTGATATCTCTGGAACTATGAGTACTAGGAAGCTAAAATTTTGGATTCAATGCTTTCAAATTATATTCTCTCAGCATACAAAATTTTATCGAAATTAAAAAGGTCGGGCCGAAAAGTTATCGTGGTATGGAATTACCCTTTGGAGATCATTAACGTATATTGAATACTACATATTTGCTAAGTTTCAAATCATCATCTTTTTTACTTTCGGTTTTGACAAAGTGCCAACACTTTTTTATTTTGCTCATAACTCAGTAATGGTTCATTCCGCTGCTTTCCAAATAGAAGATCAATTAGGATCAATTAACGGGCTATACAATGGTATAGGTTTCGGTAATTGATCCTCAAGTCGATCTGCTAGCTTAAATAATTCTGCCAACTTCACGTTTTTAAAACGGTTATAACTCGGTTACGGTTAATGATACGGATATGCGGTTTGGAGATTATTATGTACATATTGAATACTACATAATTGCCAAGTTTCAGAACATGATCTTTTTTATTTTCGGTTTTGGCAAAGTGCCAACACTTTCTAATTGATATTCAAGCCGTTTCGGCAGTCAAAATTCACACTTTCTTTATTTTGTTGATATCTCACTTTCCTTTAATTTTTTTGACATTCCGTTTAAAGAATTTGGAGGATCAATTAAGGCACTAAATATTGTATTAACTAAAAAATGATTGCTCGAATTTTAAATATTGGCAAAATGCCAAAACCTTTTTATTTTGCCTATAACTCATGAACGGTTCATTCCGCTGGTATGCGGTTTAAAGATTCTAGAGGATCAATTAACGTTCTACACTTTGGCATAAATTTCGGTAATTGATCCTCACTTAAAAATCCGCTAACTTCACGTTTTTAAAACGGTTATAACTCGGTTGCGGTTAGTGATACCGATATCCAGCTTGGAGATTATTAACGTACATATTGAATACTACATAATTGCCAAGTTTCAGATCATTATCTTTTATATTTTCGGTTTTAGCAAAGTGCCAACATTTTCTTATTTTGCTCATAACTCCGTAACAGTTCATTCCGCTGCTTTTCGGATAGAAGATCAATTAACGGGCTACACAATGGCATAGGTTTCGGTAATTGATCCTTAAATCGTTCCGCCAGCTTTAAAATTTAACACTTTCCTTATTTTGCTTATAACTCATTAACCTTTGATTCCGCTGATGTTTGGTTTGAAGATCAATTAGCATCAATTAAGACTCTAAATATTGGCATATTTGTTAATTGATCCTCACATCTTTCCACCAACTTCACGGACCTAAAAAAGCAGACGATTTAGTTTAAGGTTAGAAAATATCATGTAGAATGTTATATTGTTAATGTTAAGATTGTTTTTTTTAAGAATAATAAAAAAAATAAAAGATTAATTAATAAGGTCAGGGAAAAAATATTATAGAATATTATATTATAAAGATAAAAAAGAAAATTATTAATAGTGATTTAGTTAAGTATTGAGAAATAGTTGCTAATAGGTAATTTAGATAGGAAAAAATAATGTAATTTATATATATTGAGTGATAAGTAAACTTGTTAAGGAAGAAAAAAAATAAAGGTTAGTTATTTTTAGTGATTGGTGATTTGAAGATGTTTAAAGGAATATATATATAAAATACTAAAGATTAAAATTTTAACTATCTGTCAGTTATAAATGTCAATAATCGAAAATTAACTACCTGTTATAAAGTCAGTTTTACTAAATATTATCATTTTAACATCACAGGTCACAGTATTAATTAATAGAAACTTTTAACATAACCCGTCAGTTATAGATGCTACTAAATAGAAAATTTTAATATTGCAAGTCAGTCATAAGTGTCAGGATTACTAAAGGGAGTTAATTTAAACTTAAATTAAAATATAACGTTACACCGGGCCAAAAATTTTTTTAAAAAAAATCCGGGATGGGCCGGGCCTGCAAATGGTATATCTGCAGGTCTCTAATAAAAATTATTTAACATACCGATTTATGTAAAAAGCAACGATTTCTCCATTATGTCTATCTGCCCCCTGATATCCTAAAAATTCTTTGTTGCGATAATATCTGATTAGTAAATTATAATAAATAAAATTAAATGATATATAAACTCGAGATCTGCAAAAGTTAATTTTTTAAAAAAAAAATCGGGTTCGTACTGAGTAGAGCCTAATATTTTTAAGTGAATTCGGGCCGGGTCGCGTCGGGTCTAAGAATTTTTTTTAAATATATCTAAATTTATCAATTTTTTGTTGAATTTTTTATGTAAAATAAAAATATTTGATTTTATTTATAGAAACTAGACGCCATATAGCATATATCGTTTATTTTGAGTAATTATAAAAAATAATTTCTATATTTAAATAAATTAGGGCCGGGCCGGTAAATTCTTTCAAAAAGAGTTTCAAGTATGGGCCGGGCCGGACTAAAAAATAAGGCCCTACAGATTACTAATATAGACACCAATACTTTTTTAGGATCTATCTCAAGGCTGAGCAGTATGGCGAACTTATATTTAAAATACAAAACTAAATACAAATACTTTTTTATATTTGTATTTGTTTAAATAATAGAGTATATTTAGTATTTGTATTTTTCATACGAACAAAAAGTATCTCGTATTTATAACGATTTAAAATAAATATAAATACTTATAATTTTTTTTCATTATTCAAAATTTATTTATTAAACATTAATTTTGTTATCCGAATTAGAAAAATTTTTAGATAGTATCTGTTTCATTTTATTCTAGAGTGACGTACATACTGAAAGTGAAAGTGAATAAATAAAATAAATTACAGTTCTTAATAGAGTATTTTTTTATTTAGATATTATAATGTGTATAAAATATTTTTATCAGAATATTTTCTGGAAGACCCCCATATCCTTTATAAGTCATTTAACCATATTAAGAAAATTCTTCAAAATCATTAATATAGTAAAGCATGACTAATGCTAGATATCGTATCAACATATAGCAATTACTAAACAACGATCAATTTTTAAAAAAAGTAATAAGACCTATTTACATTTCTCCCAAGGATGGAACCACCAAGTTGGCTTTTGGAAAAAAAACATTATGGGATTCGAAGCCAGAACCTTCGGATTGAAACATACGCACTCATCCGACTAGGCCAGAGACGCGTTTCGAAAATGACTATTTATAAAATATGAATATTATAATTAAACATTGGTTATTTCGATCATATTTTAGTTGGCACTAACAGTAAAGTACAATGTAATTTGGGTGTATTAATCTTTTCTTTTAATTGCATACAAGCCTTCATTTATTTTATTATCCAAGTTACGTGGTAACCCTGAATTCATAGTTAGCGCGATTGGCTATGAATTCGTGCTAACTATGAATTTAGGGTAAGGGAGATCTGGCATAATAAATATATATGAAAAATTTAGTATATAAATATAATATCATACTTTATCTTCAGACTCATTTAACAATATTTTATAATAAATTAGAATCCTAATTAGACCTAAAAAAATTCGAATCGAAGCGAATAGTAAAATTATTCGTATTCGTTTAAATCGAATAATTCATTATTCGTATTCGTACGAATAATAAAATAATTATTCGATTCGATTAGAAAATTTTATTTAACCATAAATAAAAAAGATCGAATATTAAATTTATTTTGTAAAATTTAACACGAAGGAAGATAAACAAATTTTATTAGTAAGATAAAATAGAAACATATATATAGTATATATATAATGCAGAAAAATCAATATATCAAGAAAAATCTGATAACAACCAATTTTTTAAACACAAAGTTTTTCGGATTGTATCCTCTTATAAAATTCTTAAAAAAATTTAATGTCTAATTTAGTTTATTTAGCTTCATAAATTTATAAATTGCTGTGATTTAATTATTAAAATAATCATTTTAACATATAAGATAATTAAGATAATAATTTATAAAATCATTAAATATATAGTGATTAATTTTATATTGAAATAAGAATGTTTAACAAAAGAATAATTAAGATATTAATTTATAAAGTATTAACAAAATGGATGATGAAAAATTTAGATGTTAATACTAATTAAATTTGTATATAATTAAATATTTATATACCTAAAAAATGAAGGAATATAATAAGATAGGCCTTTTGGAAGTATTTCATATTTATAATAAAATTTTTAAATAATATATTATGGCCAGTTAAATAGCCAGTCAATACATACTAAGCTTTGACTGGCCAGAAAGACAACTTTCACATACTTTCTTGGTCCATCTCCATCATATTCAAATTCATAAAATAATTTTCGGAAGTAAATCTAATATTAAGAAGTTATTCGAATAAAAACAGCTGTTACAATTTTATAAATATAAAATGCTTCTTTTTCCACTAGGAAATTTTATTAAATAAAAATATTTTAAATAATTCCTTCAAATAATATATTATTTTCCAATATTTAGATTAGCTACAAAAATTCGAATCGAATCGAATAATTCGATCGAATAACAGATAAAAAATTATTTGTCGAATAATATATTTTCCTTATTCGTATTCGTAAAAATCGAATCGAATATCGAATAACGAATAATTCGTTTTAGGTCTAATCCTAATAATCTGAATGTTAGGATCCTCATTTCATTTCAATATTATGAATGTTCTCACTATTGTTAGTGTTATGACTTACTATGCAACCATTTTGTATCGCGTAAGATTTTTTTATTTAACAAGTGGTATAATTTTTGTTTTATTTCATATATATCGCGTAATATTTTATTCTTGTATTTGAATTATTATATAAAGAATTCATTTTTGATATCAATAAAATAGACTAGGGTCATGGCCCAAAAAAAATTAATGCTATATTTCCATGTTCTCTTTTTTGCCTGATTGAAAATCACAATAACACAAATAATTTAAATTTAAAAAAGTTTTTAAAAAAATCAGGGAGTATAAATAAACATAATTACAGTTATTGTTATTATTATTAAATTCATAACATTAAAACAATTATTTTGAGAGATATTTTCTTAATTCTATTGATAAGAAGTTGTACCACGACCCCGCCAAGGCTTAAAATAATATTTGCCATCAGACTTAAGATATCGGTACGAAAAAACATGATTTTGCATGAAACACTAGTAAATTATGAAACATAATGAAATTAAAGCTGAACCTTTGGCCAAGTGTAGACTAGATTTGTGTTTTAAAGAAAAGACAGATCAATAAAAAATTATGTTCGTCAAGCTGAAAAGTTGCAGACTTAGTAAAAGTCAATATTTAATATATTACCTATACAAGGCTGAAAAAACCCAAAATAGCAAGTGTTATTATTTTGAATGAGATTATTAGGTCTTGAATTATAAAAAACTATTTTAGCTGTTGAACTGATAAGCTAATTTTGCTCTTAAATTTTTTAAATTATGACTTTTTTCTGTAAATATTATTATTGAATTAATCTTAAACTTAATATTTTCTCTTCAAATTAATCTTAAACTTAATATTTTCTCTTCAAATTATTTAAAATTTATGAACACCAGAGTTGTTAAAGTAGAGCGTTATATTTTGTAACAATAGCTATTAAACGTGGTAATTTTTAAAAATAATGGTGGGAAGTAACGCGCTACTTACAAAAAATTATTTATTTACATATATAAGCATAATATTATAATTTTTATATTAATTTAATTAAAATATATTTTTAGCCTATGAACCTTCCTTAATGAATATTGAAGCTTAAAGGATCATTTAAAAATTAGAAAACATAATTCATTATTATCATTAACAAAATTTTTTATTTCTGTAAATTTCAAAAAGAAATTAATACCAACTTGATGTAAATGTTTGCATTGGTCCGATCTTTCTTTCTAAAATGGGACTGAACCATCAAACCGTTAAGTAAAGTGGAACCAGACCATAGGCCAAGTCTGGTCCTATCTAAAATATGTTTTTTTGTTAAGCTATAAAAGTTTTATTCTGCTTCAATTTATTAAAAATGAAATGTGAATTTACCGATATTTTAATTATTATCATCATATCATTTTTATTATATCATACAATATAACTACCTAATATTTCAAAATAATATTAAATCAATATTAAATTTATTGAATATATTATAAATCAATTTGCATATTTAATGAGATTTGATATATATATATATATATAATGTGATGGCTATAAAATATTTATAAATAAATATATTATCTAAATTTTTTATCCATGATTCAAATGTCAATCGCTTTCGAAAAGATACTTTAAGCTACTGATATAGCCAGTTGTGGGAGATAGTCCATTGCTATTTTGGCCAGAATTGGGATAGGTATTGATTCCCTTCCCACCAATCTAATATGTTGGAATTAATTGGATATAAAATATCGGATAAATAGCTTTTTTTTATTTATACCATCTTTCCCAGCTTCCTCTGATGCCCCAGTCCGCACGAGCCTATGACATTCTCTCCCTAGGATATTTAAATAAATCTATTGATTAATAAAATAAATATACATTTTGTTATATACTTTGTTTCCCATTATGTAAATAGTGTTCTAGAATATTTTTCATATATTTCTCTAAATTGAATAGAATGTTCAGAGGTGTTTAATAAATTAAAAATGTGAACCTAAACGAAAGGAACATTATAAAGAAATAGGAAATTTTAACTTTTTTAATTCTGGGGTCTAATAGACTGCCAATAAAGGACTCCATATTTAAAAATTTATGAATATAGTGGTCAACCTATTTAACGACTTTCATTGCAAAAGGCACATCGATAAAAGAGAGGAAAGAATTAGAAGTAAATGTACTTCTAATGTGTGTTTCTATGTTTTCCATCCAAGGCATATGCCTAAACAAGAAAGAGACCTTCTAAAAATATTAAATAAAAGATTAATTATTCTACCAATGGTAGGGTAGGAGGATCCAAATAAATTTAAGGGCTTTAATAAAGAAATTAGTTTCTATTTATTTTTACTATCATTTCTTAGAGAAATGTTGCCAAGTCTAAAATTCAGAAAACACACAATTTTTACTATCTCAAAATTCTAACAATTAAAAAAAAATATAATAGTATAGATTAAGAAAAATAAATTAGTCTACTGTAAGGGCAGGGCCTTGGTTTCAAAATCAGTTTGAAATTTTTGCCCAATTTCATTATCTTTAAGTAATGATCTATATTTTAAGTATTAATGAACTTTGATATATGTTGTAACCGTCCTTAATTTCACAATGTTCCTCAATACTCTTTAAAATATTCTGACAAATAATGTTTAACATACTTAACCAGACATCCACATGCTGCGACTCATGTAAGTAGACATTGGTTTCTGAGTTTCAAGTATATTAGCTGCATTATCAGTTGTTAATATTATAATTATTTCCTGCATTGACAATTAATTCAGAAACATTTATAGATATTTTCTGCTTTGTGATATAAGATACATAATTAATATCTAATATCATTTTCCATGATTCATCAATAAACTGACCACGTAGAGATATATATATATATATGAAATTTTTAAACAGAAGTCCATAAATCTGGTCAGTTTTTCTGGCAATTTTGCTAGCCTGCATATAACTGGCTTATTTTATTGAGGCAATTGTTTTGAATATTGTTTTAAAAGTATATGAGAAAATTTTAATAGGATTTATGTGTCCAAACAATTCAATAAATTTAAATTAGTAATCAGTGCATGTAGGGAGATAGTAGAAGTTATATAATGATTTCAGAAATATATTTACTTTTTTAGTTTTGAGAAGTTGCAATTTTATTACTATAATTATTAATCTAAAGAAAAAAGTATTTCTTTCTGAACTAATATTTATTCCTGGTGAAATTCTTTTATGCTTTAGAAACATATGTTGTCTCAAAGTAGTTAAAAAAGATAAAAATATTCATTATATATGTGAATGTGCAATATACAATACAATCATATTCATATCATTTAATTAATTAAATTAATGTTAGGAGAAGAACGTCCATAACTATAAGTAGGTAATTTTGATAAATTTAATTCATATTGAACTATCAATTTGATATATTCACATAATTTACTTATGCTTGATGAATATCTGGAGACACATATTACATATTTTTCAAGAATTATCTTCTAAAATTTGTATAATTCTCTAACATCTTTCAAATTTGAATTTGGTGATTTTTTTATTTGTACTACTACT